CTTTTTTTTTTGGGCGGGTCAATCAAAACCTTATGGTGGTTTTTTCTTTTTAATTTAGCAAGAATTTATATTTAGGTCAATGACACGATAACACATGAATCATTAGATTTTTCTATTTCTTTTAGATAAGTCCTTTAGTAATAAGGGCATAATTTCGTCACTAAGATAACGGTGAAGTTATTTTTAGCTCAATAAGTGGATGAAGGTCATTTTTGTGTCAGATCGAATAGTTTAGGGGTAGTTTTGACTCTTTTCCGAATTTTCAATTGCATTGTAGTATACAATTATAAGTTTCAGCCTTTGAAAAAAAATTAGTTGAGGTAGTTGCTCGTTAATACTTTCCTCACATGAGATGGGCTATGATACTCACACGTTTGGGACTTACCTTGTTTGTGTTGAAATAGTACCCACTGGAATGGCCATATTTTTGTAAAAATAGCCAGTGCCTTGGGGTGTTAAATTGAGCTTTACACATTTGATCGTACCACTAGTCAAATATACAAAAATATACACTAGTTTATCTAAAGAAATTATATTATACATTAATATTCAAAAAAATATAAATTTTTCAACTATTATTTTGAGTGACGGATGTACTGTGCAAAAGTTCCTCTCAAATTTCAGGGGTGAAACTCCATGACAGTGGCTAATTTTCAATTATAGGGGCTAAAAAGTGTCTATTTATGAATTTTACCCCTTGTTTGTCCAATAACGTGGCTAGACAGCAATATTGGGCCTTATAGATGTACACAACACGGGCTGAAATTTTATTCTGCTAACTCGAGTTTCAGCCCACAGAATCCGAACCGCACAGAGCTCCTTGTCTCATCCTGGCCGTTGATTATTCTTTATAAATGATTTAACACTTCCAGCAACTAGGGTTTTTATCTTCTGTCAGGGCAAGTGATTCCGGCACACTCACAGATCTGTCCGCCGTTGCCGAACACTCAGAGGTACTCTTCTCTCTCTCCCATTTCATCTTCAAAACTCACTTCCCCTCAAATTTACCCCAAATTTCCATTTGTTAAAGCAATTTATTATCTCTGTTTTACTAGTAAGAAAATATGCGTAAAACCGAATTTTAATACCTGAGAATTTACAGAAATAGACGTTTTCTGCTGCATTTTACTTGTTTAATTAGAAATGCATGAATTAGTTCAAATTTGTTATTTTAATCTTTCTGAAGTACCACTCCATACAGTATAAATAAAAAAATGACGAATGCTCATACTTCTGATATAGTTAATTAAGCAGGTAAACTAGCTGTATATCTCAATGCCTGTTTGATTGAAAGTCGTTCCTATATTGTATCATCAGGATAGAGCCTAAGAATTTCAGAAAAAGTGTCATTTTTTAAAATTTTTATTTCCTAGTCGGTTAGTTTCTGCAGATTATTTATAGTGGTTTTAGGCTTATAGCTGAATCAGTTGATTGATTAGATCTGTGAAGATGTACACGTCAAGGCAAAAGATTCACAAAGACAAAGATGCTGAACCTTCTGAATTTGAGGAGTCCGTTGCACAGGTTTTGTGTTGTTCTTAGTTGACCGTTCTGGTTATTGTTTAGTTTCAATCCGTCCTTTGATAATTTTGTGTTTGTGGAATGAAGATATAAATTTTGTTGTTGAACAGGCTTTGTTTGACTTGGAAAACACCAACCAAGAGCTGAAAAGTGAATTGAAGGATCTATACATCAATTCAGCAGCGTAAGAGTGGTGTTAACAGATTTTTTGTTAGTAAATATGTATTGGATTGTTCTGTGATAATTAATTTATTTGGCTGCTGCTGCAGTCAAATTGATGTGTCTGGAAGTAGGAAAGCTGTTGTTATTCACGTGCCATACAGACTGAGGAAAGCTTTCCGCAAGGTTCATGTCCGGCTTGTTAGGGAGTTGGAGAAGAAATTCAGTGGAAAGGTAACCATCTACCATTTTCTTCCTCTAGTGTATTATGCTTACTGCTGTCACTGACTTTTATATGTTTCAAGTTTGTACCTGGAAATCTATTCTTAAATTATGCCACATATTGTTATTTTATTTAAGATTATTGACATTATAGTGATTTGCAAGAGTAGCATATGCATAATTCCAACGTTCAGTTGCCTTAAAAAAAGTCCACTGGTGAGTGTTAGAAAATATTGCCTACTTTGCTCACTGGATTCCACCAATGTATCTCTTCTATGATTGGGTAAAATAATATACTCCACCCTTATTTTATTTGTCCTCTTTGCACTATTCTCACCCTAATGCCACTCTGAAGAGTGGAAATTCGTCTAGGTATTAATTGTTGTACTCCAATCTTTGATGTTCTACACCTTGGGTTCATTCGCTGATGATTTGAAGTATTTTTATCCATGCATCTGTTGCTGTAGTAATTATTTATGCATAATGTTGGTATTCTGTGTACAGTTTAGGTTAGTAATGAATTAACTGGTGTGACTTAATTCTGAAATGATGCTTTATTAAATGGATACCAGTTTGCTTGCAGTGTGAGACATGGCTTACATGTTCAGTATTGAGTAGTCCGATATTCTTTTTATCATTATTCGATTTCTCTGAATATTCATGCAAGAATCCATCGGGATAATATGATTTTTTAGCAATTCCTGACATTCATTTCTTGTAGGATGTGATCTTCATTGCCACAAGGAGGATAGTTAGGCCCCCCAAGAGAGGCTCTGCTGCCCAGCGACCACGCAGCAGGACTCTTACTTCTGTTCACGATGCTATATTGGAGGACTTGGTTGTACCAGCTGAGATTGTTGGGAAGCGAACTAGATATCGTATTGATGGATCCAAGATAATGAAGGTATGACTGTTGAAATTAAATAGTCTTATCATGTTGCTTAACTGTTGTGGGTCTCCAATCCTACTTGGGAAACTGTAATTACTGGAGAAGTACCTATTTTTGAATTGGAAGATCCACTTTAACTATTTGTTTCTGAATGACTATTGACTCCTGGGTTATTTTAGTAGTAAATAAAGACATAATTTCAATCTGAAAAGAAGTTTCTGAAACATGTTTTAGTTTATTTATGTTTGTCACCTTTTCTCAGTCCTTCATCATTGTGCTNTGAAATTAAATAGTCGTATCATGTTGCTTAACTTTTGTGGGTCTCCAATCCTACTTGGGAAACTGTTATTACTGGAAAAAATCGGAAGATCCACTTTAACTATTTGTTTCTAAATTACATTGACTCCGGGGTTATTTTAACAGTAAAGAAAAACATAATTTCAATCTGAAGGAAGCTTCTGAAACATGTTTTAGTTTTATTTATATTTGTCAACTTTTCTCAGTCCTTCATCATTGTGCTTGTTTGTGCTGGACAGGTCTTCTTGGACCCCAAGGAGCGCAACAACACCGAGTACAAGCTGGAGACCTTTTCTGCAGTTTACAGGAAGCTTTCAGGCAAAGACGTCGTGTTTGAGTACCCCATCACAGAGGCTTAAAACATACAAAATAGTGGTCTTGATCTCTTCGATGCAGAACTATAAATTAGTGGCTACTTTATAAATTTTGGCATTTAAATTTTGTTTGGAAGGCAGAGGACAGTGTTAAAACTGGTTTTGAGTTTCTGTGGAATTTTGTTCCAATCTGCTAGAAAGATAATTCAACTTGTTTTATAAATCTTTTACCGTGCTATTTCCACCATTTTATGCTGAACCTAGGTGTGATTATCTTTAGAGCTCGTTGATTTCCTGCTTGCAATTAATTCTGGTCCAACAGTATTCGTGCAATGTCCTATCCCTTTGTCCACCTATTGAGTTGCCATATCCTGTAGGTTTTTTTCTTGAGCGTGGGTTTGGTGATTTGAGGTGCATAATTATATGGCAAGGTGTGATATGTTTATTGATTTATTAGCTGCACTAGTTTTGTGATTGTTACATCAACTCTAAAAGTAACTTAAAAGCGTCTTCCTATGCAGCAGTTGCCTTATTTAGTACTCGACCAAGTTAAAATAATTTACTCTAGTTTTTGTGCCTATTTTGTATAAAAAATTGTTATGGAGGTCCTGAAACCAGTTTTTAACTGATTTTTTTTTATTCTAGTTTTCCTACACTATAGTTTCACAAAAGTAGAACGTTCTAGTTTACGTCATGGAAGAAATTTTCCTTATGTTTCGCTACGGTTACTGATGGGAATCAAGTTATATACTGTACCGAGGCTTTTGTGGAATCCTTCGTTCAGACATATTGTTATTAATAATCCTGCTCTTTTACATATACTAATTGCTAAGATGCTTGTAATACTTAGTAATCATTTTCATTTGTTGCTAATTTTACTACGCTATAGTTGAAAGAACTTCTAGGACTCCCGTGTGAATGGAACATATAGAAGTTGTTTCCTAATGTTTATGATGTGAATCATTTTTCTCCTAGTATCAAAAGGTTAAAAAGTTACTTATCTTTGTATAGAACCACTTCTCACGATTTTTCTCTTATTTATCAAGTAGTTTGTATCAGCCTTTCTTCTGTGTAGATAGATTAAAGATTAGGGGTTATATTTGTGGTTATATGCATGTATTTATACGTGTGCCTGTGTGTAAATACAGGTATAGGCAGAAATATAAATAAAGATAAAATTGAAGGTACCGATATGACATGATTGTATTGTCACTTTTTAAAAAATATCCAAAATTAGAAAGCTACTAGTTCCGTGAAGAAACTATGTTAAACTGATATGTACAACAGTATAATGTAAAGACAAATCGAATGAAGCTATGACTGGATGCATAATGAGGAAAATGTATGATACATCCTTTTGGTATATGAGATATATATTGGTCTAATTTTCGAATTCTCCTCCTGCAGCATCCTTATATGTTTGTAATTGTAAGTGCTGCAGTAATCCAACTTCTCATCCAGGAAGAGGCTGGTTCAATTCAAACTACCTGCATTATTTACCAATAGATTCTCATCAGTTGGCTCTAATTTAAACTTTTACAATGCTTCACTCTGTCGCTTAGGACATTTACAATGAATTGCCTATTCATCAATTTTGCCACGGAGAAGAACAAAAGAGAAAGAAAACCACAAGCACATAACGATATTCTGATGATTCCACTGCAATTTCAGCAGTACTTAAGTCAAAAGGGTACAGAACGAGCAAGCAAAGATTCAAAACATATTCTTGTTTTTATTTCTATCATTTATGTGCCAGCAAAAGAAAACACAATAGAATTAGAAGAGAACTATCTCCAGAAAGAGTGATTGAGTGGCAAATGTGTTTCTTTGTATACTCATTTTAAGATCAATCTGCCCAAGACGCACATGCACATAGGAGTGAGCAGAAACACCTATATTGAAATTAGAATCCAAGGATACTTCAGTCAACAACTTCTGTATACATGTGAGATTCTTCACTCAACCATCCCAGGGGGCTGTGATGAGAAGATGATGATGAAACATAGGAGTTAACTAAAACATAAGGACTTATAATGAATGGTCTAATTAGCAGGCGTACCTCAAGACAAGATCACTAAACCAAGATATGTGGCTCCACAGAGAAACAAAAAGGAAATGAGTCCCCTGCAAAAAGATCTAGTATCATTTAAGAAGTCAGATTGTATGCTGCTTATTTAAGTTATAGGTGAGCTCACCAGATGATCCCCCAGCCAACACCAGTACAAGGACAGGGACACACTTCAGCAAACTTCTCAGCATCACTGTGGTGTACTCTTCGTGATATCAGATCATCGTAGATATCTGTATAAATTTAAAACATGTCCAGGCATCAATATGTTAATGTAAAATTTTATCAAATGAAGAAGGGTGTGAAAAAGTGTGGGCCTACCATACACAGAAAATAAGCTGTTCATTACACCTGCATTTCATTAACATTTTAATGAGTAAAAGAAAAGCTTACACACTGGAAAGAAGTCCTATGGTGCATGAAACTTTGCATAAAGGCAAAGGGACTGAAAGTTACCAATGAACAGAATGATGTACCGCAGAATTTTAATCTTTGTTGTTTCTTGCAGAATCCATACAACAGCAAGGAAGAGAACAAATCCTGACGGTTTGAGGTTCAAATATCAGTTTGGCCTAGTTTTCATAGTCTCAAAATATTATAAAAACCTTGTTGGCTGAATGATCTTACCAATACAAAGGCCGCGGAGTGTCCACTGCAGAAAAGAGACATGACATGATCAGTAAGACAAGTACTGCAACTTCATCATAGAACCATGCATATTAAGACCATTGTTATTTAAGAGATCCAATATCAACTAGCTCAAGCTAAAAAAATGTCTCAGTCCTGTTGCAAAGGAGACACTGAGATAATAATTACATTTCAGAACACCTGCTCCATTACGTTGTACACGGATTTTTTCAAAATGCACATCTAATTCATTTATGCTAGGCCATTAAGATGAATTTGAGATGCTCTTGGGAATTAATTGTCACTCACATTTTTAGCCACAAAAAGAACAACAATTAGAGTGACCAGTAAACATCCTGCTGCAATTCTTGCTGTAAGGAGCTTGGTGGACGCAAGCACTAATACCATTCCCCAAAATGCTGAACCAAGATCTATAAAGGAGAAAATAGAGTCAATTCCATGATCCAAACAAGATTGTCATGTGAGTTAACATCAGTCATTGAAAGAGAAAACTCATTATAGGCATGTTACAGATTGTAATGTTTATTTAGACATAAGAAATATGGAACATTATTCTAGTACTAAGATTATTTACGTATCAAATCAACCAAAACAAACTAAATCAATAAGTTCACAGTTCATTTTGATAAGAACTTTGCAGCCACTGAAATTAAAATGTAACCAGGGAAGTGATAGAAATATACATCCAGCTGGCAAAATGAACCAATATACGCCACCACGTGTTTGTGTAGTGCCACCTTCGTCAGCATGAACCTGTATCCCCTCAACCTGTAGATGAATACAAGCTTCATAAAATCAGCTAAAAGAGGAAACACAGATCCATTCTGTCACATAAGGCTGAAGATAGGACTATTTATTAATTGGTATGTACACAGTTATATATGTGGCAATGGCATAGCTAATAAAATAGTTGCTACAAAAATGTTCCCCAATCACTCAGAAATATGCTGGGTATACGGAACTAGAAACAAGCATTGAACACGAATATGTTCAGGGTTTTCTTGTTCTCACTACTGCTATGAAGCACGATAATACAACAGTTCGAACTGTAATAGTATATTAGCTAACATCAATCAAAAACTAATTTTCTTTTCTGGCATTTATCTGATGAATATATTCTGGTCAGTGAAGGATGATGCAACTTCTAAAGCTAAAAATGGTGAACTATCATATTCCATCACAATATCCAACTATAAGAACACATAATTATCAGCTTCCAACAAGTGTCATATCTTTAACTATTATAAAAAACTCTCTCTCAGGAAATATGAACCAACAGCATCATATCCTAATGATTAAAAGAAAGCGAGAGGGACTCTTTACATGGCCACAAGTAAGTTTGCAAGCTATAGCATGACTAGCTTCATGAATAAACACTGTCACAAGCTTGAAAGGTAGTAGTAGCACTGTCCTCCAAAGCTGCAAGAAAAAAATACTAACAGATTATCACCAAAAGGAATGGTCACAGATAGAGCATTAAGTCACAACAGCTTAAATTTCCAAAAAGTAGAAGACAAGTAAACTTTAGCTGTTTATACTTTACCATAACTACGACATTGACACATCATAGACAATTAAGAAGATAGTGAAAATCATATCCATCCATTGCTATGGATCCAACATGTTGGACCCTCAATTAATTCGTGATCTGCACTTTTATATACTAGTTTCACTTGGTAAAAGCATCAACCCCTAGCCAATGGCGGATATAGCACATCATCTACAAATTCAACTTAAACCAGCATTTTCGACACAAAGTGTAGATGTACTTATGAATAATCACAAAAATTTCAAAATAAATAAATAAATTTTGAACCAATAATTTTAAAAATGTAATGGATACAATGGCAAGACCTAGAGGGTGAACCATCAAATATAATTCCTAGATCCACCTCTGCCTCTGGCTCACTAGCCGGTCCCCTCCCTTCACCCGGAAGGAGGAAATAACACATCAGTGGACTTCCTGAGTTTCGAATTTATGAGAGGCAATAAGATAAATAGTACGTACTTCATAAGACACTTCATTCAGCACTCACAAGTCTGAGTGTGCTGATGAAAAGAGGCCAAAGGTAATGTTGGGTGTGCGAACAAAGTCCCATCACATTGGTAGTTGAAAAGGAACCTACATACAAGATGTAGGGATCTCTTAATGGAGAGACCTTTTGGGAAAAATCGTGCGGGCTTAACCTGAAGCCTACAACATGACACCATGTTAATAGTATCTTTGGGTAATTCATTCCTTAAGAAAAGCTAGCTCAACTGGTAAACCATATACTATAAAATAAATAAAAAGAAAGGAGGAAAACAGAGCACCCATAAAGACTAAAGAGGATCATTCCAAGCGATACACATAACATTTCCACAATTAAGACCTATGGTTAAAATCAAGGATTTTTTTTTTTTTTTTTTTTTTTTTTTTTTTTTTTTTTTTTTAAAAAAAA